GCTAAGGACACATATGTAATACCTTAATCAATGAAGAAAAAAATAAAAAATAATAATAAAAAAGAAATTATGCTGGGCAAGACTTCTAAGATTTTATACACCTGTTTAATCCAACTTTTCCTTGCTCTAGTTTAAATTAAATCAGCCAGGATGAATTACATATATACAAATAAACTGTTGTGCAATATTCAGGTATGATACACAGGAAAGTATGATATAGCCCTTAACTTCAATGCAGTTGGAATCAAAGCAAAGATTACATGGGGGGTGGGAGGAACCAAGTTTTTTGAGTTGGAAACATGGAGTTCAAGATCTAATAATGACATTTATGTGTAAATTTGTAAAGATGTTTTATTATTTATGCATGAGGATTTTTTCTCATTTTTCACATGAAGGCCTTAACTAAATATATTGAGAGGATTAAAGGAGACAGAGAAAATAAAAAATAGACCACTATGATATTATACATATTAACACATATCCTTTGACTCTATGCTAATCATACAGCCTTTCTAAAAGGGAGAGAAATATCGTAGAAATGTTTAATTTAATTTAATGTACTCACATCTAATCTTCCCCTGGAAATGACAATGGATCTGCTCTTCTATCACTTTATATTAGTTCCTAGATATCTGCTTTGAATCTTGGCCTGGTAATCACAGCCCTGGTAGGATACAGTCAGGCCTCCTGTAAATACCTGCCCATCTAAGCCCATTCTGCAGGGTCAACTAAACCTGTTTAGTTCCCTTCTTCTTGCAAACAGTGTCTTATTCATATTTGCAGTTATGGAATTGAAGAGGACATATAATTTTTATTTGTTAATTAACCCAACTCATGCCCTCACCCCCCCAGTGTCTGTGTCCTTTGGTCTGAGGTTTGACGGTCTGATCAATGCTTTCCTGTCTCTGGATATGTTTTTGTTTTTTATCCAAGGGCGCTGGGGTAGTAGGGGCAGGTAGATGAGGGTAAAGGGTAAATGGTTATAGAAAGACACTTGACTTTGGGTGGTGAACACATAATACAATATATAGATGATGAATTATGGAATTGTACTCTTGAAACCTATATAATTTTATTAAGCAAAGTCACCACAATACATTCAATAAAAAATAAAAATTATTGAAAAGCTACATACATTGATTTCATCAATTCCAATCTAGAAACAATTTTTCTAAATCATATTGACTATAAACATTTATTCTTAATACCCTACTATTTTTTAAATTTTTATTGGCTTTTGGAGAGATAGAGATAGAGAAACATCAATTTCTTATTTCACTTATTTATTCATTCATTGAATTTTTGTATGTGCCTGACTGGAGATTGAACCCACAACCGTGGCGTTATTTGGAAGATGCTTTAACCAACTGAGATAACCAGCCAGGACCCTTAATACTCTATGCCACACCTATTATAGAAAATTATTAAGGTTCAGATTTGCAAAACTCTTCCTATTATCTGCTCAAAACCTACAGCGAGAAATAACATCACTTTTCATTTATTTCACACTAAAAGTGGAAAAGTATGTCATCTATTCAATTTTCTTGGTTCCTTGCTGTAGGGATAATGCTTTTATTTTCCAATCACTGCTTCTCCAAATGGTGGGTAGTAGAAACAGAAAACATGCAAACTCGAAACTGACATGCTTTGCAGAATCTGAGACTGAATGCTTCTCTGCCTATCAGTTCAGGCAGAACATATAATTATTTCCACATCTCACAGGAGTAGTCCTTTCGGTGTTAGATTTTCTTAATGCGTTGAGTTGGCGATGACAAGGAGAAAAGAAGAAGGAAAAACCCATTCGGGGACTGCCATTTGCAGTCAGTTCTTTGACATGAATTTTGGAATGACTTAAATTCTGCAAAACATTTATCAGGCAATTCTCTAGATAGAGAAAACAGTAATTTCTTCGTTTAATTCACCATAAAATTTCCCAACTCTTTGTCTTATTTTTGACAGGCTATTTTCAGGAATGTCATCACTGTAGGGAAGGTAGTAGAAGTGTGACTGCTGCCCTATGAAGGCTTTCATTAATGCATTCCCCTTGTTCAACTCTACAATAGCGTCAGGCATTTAGTGTAAGTACTCACCTGGGTAAAAGTCACAATGACATCATCATTGCAATCTTTGGGATTCAATTTGCAAACTAGAAAATGACTGACATTTAGATCCCATGACATCTCTGTTTTCTGTTAGCAACATAGTTCCTGGTTAGATCCTGTAAGCAATTTGATATAAAATGCCTTCTTAAGAGGAGTAAAGAACAGTTAATACTATAGCACTGAAATTCTGCTAGGTGTTAGAATGTGTAATGAAACACAGGTAAATTAAATAGAGCTATAATAAAACTATATAGCCTGGTCACACATTTATCTTTAATCAATTTATCTCACATTTGTTGCAAATTAATCAATTACAAAATAATGTACTATAGATCACACAGCAGGGGGAAAGCAAAGTTATTTATTTGTGTCCTTAAAAGATACACATACTAAAAAAGGATCTGAAATGTAAAAGAGAATCTTACTGATAATGATATAGGTTAATATTCTATATCCTTAAGATTTTTTTATAGATTTACATAGCTCTTAAAGAATGAACATGAACCCTGAAGGCTCATCTTGAAACAAATTCTAACAGCTGTGTGATAGAATAGTAATCAGTAATAGTAACAGTGATTTAAATAGTAGTTATTCTCAAAACATAGCCAGGGTTTAAATTACAAATATTTGCAAAGGATCTCCAATTTATCATTTGAAAAACCCTTTCTATGTTGTTTCCACTGAAATTAGAAAGAATAGCCTTAATTGTTGTTTTCACTGAAATTAGAAAGAATAACCTTAACTGTTATTGAGTTCTTAACCACTATAGCTAAAATCAAATCCTAAAACTTTAACACTGGACACAGTCTTCACAGTCTGTAGCCAGTCTACTATTTGGATTGATTTCCTACCATCTTTCTTCTCTTCTCCCTTAGCTATTCACCATGTCATCCATTCAGAATCAACCAATACTTTATACAGTTCAGTAATTCCATGTATTGTTTTTGTGTGTCTTGTCTTTACATGCACAGGCTTTTCCAAGCTTAAAAATTGTGAATTGCTGTTTATTCTTTAAAACCTAGTTCTGAGAAATCGTTCCAGACAATACAAGATAGCCATTCCTTCATTGTTTGCTCTAAAGCATTTTGCAGTATTCGATTAGGATGGGAAATATTTTAAATGACTTCTATATGACAGCTGACATTTTTCTATCAGACATACATCTAGGATGATAAATTCCTTTTATTCATGTTGTCAGCCACTTCACCTGCACTTTTAGGCAGTAAGATGTCTCTATTTTATTATCTTCTATATCTACTTGATGACACAATAGAAGAATTAAAATAAATTCTATTAATTTATTTTGCCTTTTTTTTGTATTGATACTCCTCAACCCATGCTACCACTACCACCACTTTCAACCACTAATAAGAAAGAAGTTTCAGGACAAGGTAGGTCATGTGTTACAGATGGAGATGAACTTGGTACATATAGGTTACACTATAACACCTAAATATTGGGAATAAGGCACCTAATTTGGCAGCTTTAATACAGATGCAAAAGTTCTGGCAAGAAAATGAAATGTAACAGAATTGTTTTTAAGAAGCCATGCATAAAATTAAAACCCAGATTAAACAATTACATAGCCTATATCTATCATACCTACACAGAATACAATGGTATTCTGTGTAGGTATGATAGGAGTAAGCACCAAATAGCAGGCCACTGAAAATAGTTGCAATTCAAGAGTATCATTTTGGAGAGAGAATGCAACCCTGAGATTGTGGATTTCTTACAACCTCTATTGTCATATATTGTGCCATGATGTGATTATTTCTGATTAAGCTTCCAAAACCAATTCTGAATTTTTTAGATAAATATAATTTAATTATTTTTAATTTTGAATTACCAACACATTACATAATAACTGATAAAAATATTTAATAAAATATTTGAATAATTCAAACATGAACATAGCAATTATTTAATGTGGAATCTGTTATGATCCAAACTGCTCTTCCTCATAAGGTGAAAAGAAAATAAAAATAAAAATGAAGTCTCTAACCCCAATTTATGTCAATTATTTTGGAGTGGTATTAAAAGAGGAAATGTTAAAACAGAACTTGAGCCAGTGTGGATCGGTTGGAGTATCATCCTGTACAGCAAAGGGTCCAGGGTTTGATTCTGGTCAGGTTGTGGATTTGATTGTCAATTAGGATATGCACAGGAGATAATCAATTGGTGTCTCTCTCTCTCTCTCTCTCTCTCTCTCTCTCTCTCATCTCCTTCTCCCTTCCTCTCTAAAATCAATTAATAAAATATCCTCAGGTAAGGTTTGAAAAACAAATTAAAAATAAAATAAAAAAACACCCAAGAAGTTGAAACCCAACCAAAAGTCCATCATTCTGGCATTTACTGATTTAACAAATATTTATTAAGAACATACTTTCATTAAGAATAAGTGGGCAACTCCATACTGTTCTCCACAGTGACTGCACCAGTCTGCATTCCCACCAGCAGTGCACGAGGGTTCCTTTTTCTCCGCATCCTCCCCAGCACTTGTCATTTGTTGACTTGTTGATGATAGCCATTCTGACAGGTGTGAGGTGGTACCACGTTGTCATTTTGATTTGCATCTCTCAGATAATTAGTGACTTTGAGCATGTTTTCATATGTCTCTTGGCCTTCCTTATGTCCTCTTCCGAAAAGTATCTATTTAGGTCCATTGCCCATATTTTGATTGGGTTGTTTTTCTTCCTTTTGTTAAGTTGTATGAGTTCCCTGTAAATGTTGGAGATTAAACCCTTATCGGTGATGACATTGGCAAATATGTTCTCCCATGCAGTGGGCTTTCTTGTTGTTTTGTTGATGGTTTCTTTTGCTGTGCAGAAGCTTTTTATTTTGATGTTGTCCCATCTGCTTATTTTCTCCTTAGTTTCCATTGCCCATGGAGCTCTATCAGTGAAGATATTGCTTTGGCATATGTCTGAGATTTTGATCCCACTTCTAGGAATATATCCCAAGAAACTAGAAACACCAATCAGAAAGGATATATTCACCCATATGTTCATAGCAGCACAATTTACAATAGCTAAGATTTGGAAACAGCCTAAGTGCCCATCAGCAGATGAATGGATTAGAAAACGGTGGTACGTCTACACAATGGAATACTAAGCTGCTGTAAAAAAGAAGGAATTTTTACCATTTGCAACAGTATGGATGGAACTAGTTTGCATTATGCTAAGCAAAACAAGCCAGTCAGATAAAGATAAATATCACATGATCTCACTCATTTGTGGAATATAATGAACAACATAAACTGATGAACAAAATCAGATCCAGAGACAGAAAAGCATCATTCAGACCGTCAAACCTCAGAGGGAAGGTAGGGGAGGGTGGGGGTAAGGGGAAGAAATCAACCAAAGGACTTGTATACATGCATATAAGCCTAACCAATGGACACAGACATCGGGGGGGGTGAGGGCATGAGTGAGGGAGTGGGGGGCAATGGGGCGATAAGGACACATATGTAATAACTTAATAAAGAAATAAAAAGAATAAGTGGGCATTTATAAAATAAAGTATATTTTTCAAATGAATACTATCTGTATGTTATAAATTAGTCTATATTTCTAATAGAAAATGATAAAATTTAAATTAAAAAGATGAAATATAAGTTTATATTATAGTCTTATTTTATGTTTATACATATATAACATATATATTATCTATGCTTTAAAAATATAGTACCTGATATATAATTTTATTTCACAGATATGTATAATCTAAATATATGCATATAATTCCTGAAATATAAGTTGACACTTCTTTTCCTTCTTAGCCCTTTTTTAGTCACCTCCTTTCACCACTTAATAAGAGTGATATGACAGTGTACCAAGAAATAAAGCAGTTTTCCTGATTTCAGACTCCAAAGTAAAATATCACAAGGAACTTTTATTT